AGAAAAGAGAAGGAGAGAACAGTAATAAGTCCACTCATTCTTCAAAATACACAACCTCATAAAAAATGACATCTTCATAACAACCCTTCATATGGAATGCAAAGAAACGTTTCCCAATTATACATTTTTCATGTAAAAGGCACATGAAAAATACCATAAATGAATAGATAAAAAACACACCAAACTCTCTTCCACTATCCACCTGACTACGGCAAGTAAGTGGCACACCAAAAAAAAGTAAAGATAATAATTAATAATAATAGTGATGATGTGATGATAATAATAATAAATATAATAATAATAATAATAATAATAATAATAATAATAGTGATAAAATAGATAAAATAAAAACACAAACAAAATTCCATTACCCACTGACTATGGCAAACATAAAACACACACACACACACACACACCAACACACACCTCCCTCCCCCTACCCACACACCAACCACACACACACCCTCCCTCCCCACTACCCCCCCCACACACACACCCTCCTCTCCCCACTACCCCCCACACACAACACTCCCTCCCCACTACCCCCCCCCCCCACACCACACACACCCTCCCTCCCCACTACCCACACACACATACACACCCTCCCTCCCCACTACCCCACCACACAACACCCGCCCTCCCCACTACCCCCCCCCCCCACACACACACTCCCCCACTACCCCCCACACACACACCATCCTTCCCACACCCCCCCACCACACACACCCTCCCTCCCCACTACCCCCCACACACACACCCTCCCTCCCCACTACCCCCCCCCCACACACACACCCTCCCTCCCTACTACCCACCCCCCCCCACACACACACACCTCCCTCCCCACTACCCCACATACACACCTCCTCTCCCACTACCCCCCACACACACACCCTCCCCTCCCCACTACCCCCCCCCCCCTACACACCACACCCTCCCTCCCCACTACCCCCCCTCACACACACACCACGGTAGGTAAAAAGGCACGTAACCCTCCCAAAGCGGCGCGTAGTACCCCCCGGGCAGGGTCTTGGCAACGGGGGCCCAACACAGTGCCCCAGAGAACAGGGCTAAAGGTCGTGGCCGCCGGGTTTTATAAACGGGTCCTGACCGGGAGGGAGTTGGAGAAGGTGGAGGGAGGGGAGGGAGGGAGAAAGGGAGGGAGGAGGAAAGGGGAGGGAGGGAGGGAGTAGGAGAAGGTGGAGGGAGGAGGAGAAGTAAGGGAGGAGAGGGAGTAGAAGGTGGAGGGAGGGGAGGGAGAAGAAAGGGAGAGGAGGAAGGAGGAGGAAGGAGTTGGAGAAGGTGGAGGGAGGAGAAATGGAGGGGAGGGAGGGAGGAGGGAGGGAGGGAGGGGAGGGAAGGGAGGAGGGGAGAAGGTGGAGGGAGGGGAGGAGGGAGAAAGGGAGGGGAGGGAGGGAGAAGGTGGAGAAGGGGAGGAAGGGAGAAAAGGGAGGGGGGTAGAAGGGAGTTGGAGAAGAGAGGGAGGAGGAGAAGGTAGGGGAGGAGAGGGACAGAAGGTGAGGAGGAGGGAGGGGGAGAAAGGGAGGGAGGAAAGCGTAGGGAGTTGTGGAGAAGGTGGAGGAGGAGGGAGGGGAGGGAGGAGAGGAGGAGGAGGGAGGGGAGGGAGGGAGGAAGAGGAGGGGAAGGGGAGAGGGAAGTGGAGGAAGGAAGGAGGGAGAAAGGGAAGGGGGATGGTGGAGGAGTGAGGGAGGGGGCGAGGGGGAGGGAGGGGAGGGAGGAAAGGGAGGGGAAGCGGAGGACGGAGGGAGGGAGTGAAGGGGGAAAGTGGAGGAGGCGTAGAAAGAGAGGAAGGAGGGAGGAGAAAGGGAGGGGGAAGGTGGAGGGAGGAGGGATGGATAGGGGAAGGGCGAGGGGAGAGGGGAGGGAGGAGGGACGGAGGGGACAGGTGGGGGAAGGGAGAGAAATCAGAAGGGGGAGAGTGGGAGAGTGGGAAGGGGGAGGGGGCAGGAAAGGAGGAATGTGGAAGGAGGGAGAGAGGGGAAGGTAGGAAGGGAAGGGAGGGGGAGGGGGGTGGGGAGGGGGCGTGGGGAAAGGGTCCATGGAGTCGTCTGGGGTTGAGGGTCAACTTTCCATTTCAATATGTCCTTGTTGCATTTCTTGTTGCTGTGGTGTTGGTGGGTTTTGCTTCTTGTATTGGGGTTGAGCTGCCGTTGGGAGGGTGGGAGGGTGGGGGGGTATTCCGTTGTTGTTTGTCAGTGAACAGTTATTTTCACCACACACAACACGCGCGCGCGATATATACACACCACGCGCACACACACACACACAGACACAGATACACACACACACACACAAAGAAAGAAAGAGAGAGAAAGAAAGAAAAAGAAAAAAAAAAACACGCTAAGTGATATTATCTGCCATTACCATGCAAACATATCCAATCACCTTTTTGCTGATCTCACACGCCCTCCATTTCTAGCGTTCGAAAGTCACGTAACATAAACTAAATCTTGGAACCATTCACCTTTCTCTTGAGACATTGAGACATCGACTGAGGGATCCCTGGTTTCCCTCGCTCTCGTAGTCAGAAGAATAAAAGATAGATAGATAGAGAGAGATGGATAGAGGGAGGGAGAGAGGAGGGAGAAGCTAGGAGGGAGAGAGGGAAGGGGAGAAGAAAGACGAGAAGAGAGAGAGAGAGAGAAGAGAGAGAGGAGAGAGAGAGAGAGAGAGAGAGAGAGAGAGAGAGAGAGAGAGAGAGAGAGAGAGAGAGAGAGAGAGAGAGAGAGAGAGAGAAGAGCCAAAGGAGGGGAGAGAAGGGTGGGAAGAAGAAAGAGAGAGAGAGAGAGAGAGAGGAGAGAGAGAGAGAGAGAGAGAGAGAGAGAGAGAGAGAGAGAGAGAGAGAGAGAGAGAGAGAGAGAGAGAGAGAGAGACAGACAGACAGACAGACAGACAGAGAGAGAGAGAGAGAGAGAATTTTGCGTCGTGGATTTATGATGATATCAATTTTCCTCAAAAATGATAAATGATAATAATAATAATAAAATTAAATAAAATCAATAAATCTAATCAGAAAGTTTTGCGTATTTTTTTTTTACTTCGGCCTCAAGACGAACTCGTGATGACACCAGAGAGGAGAATGAGGTGGGCGGCCTTCCTCACCGGTCCCGTGATGACGCCACGCTTGCCTCGCCCTTGCCCTCGTCTTGCATTATCTTACCCTCGCCTTGCCGGGCTTGCATAATCTTGCCTTGTTTTGCCCTTTTGGTCTTGTCCCGGACCTTTTGCCTTGTCTTGTCCCGGATTGCCCTAATCTTGCCTTGTCTTGCATACCTTTGCTTGCCTGGCTTGCCCTATTTTGCATTGTCTTACCCTTGCCCTCGCCAGCCCAGGCTTGCCCTCGTCTTGCAGTCTTACCCTTGCTTGCCCCGCTTGCCCTTATCCTTTGTCTTGCCCTCCGTGTCTCATGTCGCATCTCCTTTATTTTGCTCTTATATTGCCATACCATCTTGCCTTCGTCTTGGACTTGACAAGCAGTTTTCTACTTGCCTTGCCCTTTTTTCTCTCCCATCTTGCCCTCGCCTCGCCCTTGCCCTGTCTCCAGCCTTATCGCACCCTGTCTTCGTCTTACCTTCGTCTTGCCTTCGACTTGCCCTTTTCCTTACCTTGCTCTGGTCTTACCTTCACCTCCCCCATTCTTTAGCCTGTGTATATTTTCTACACGGTTTCGCGTAAGTGGTAAGATGCCCATGAATAGATAGCTGTGTGTGTGTGTGTGCGTGCGTGTGTGTGTGTGTGTGTGTGTGTGTGTGTGTGTGTGTGTGTGTGTGTGTGTGTGTGTGTGTGTGTGTGTGTGTGTGTGTGTGGTGTGTGTGTGTGTGTGTGTGTGTGTGTGTGTGTGTGTGTGTGTGTGTGTGTGTGTGTGGTGTGCTGTGTGTGTGTGTGTGTGCACATGGTATTCATGCGTGCTTTAGTGCACGTGCGTGTATGTATATATATCAATCCATAAATATAAATAAACATACATATGTGAACCGTACCATATCACAATATAAAAGATTTTTTTTCTTCTCTCTGATCGTTTTTATTATTAATATTTATTTCCCCAAAAAATATTTAAGAAACGAACAGCAGGTCGTGAGATGACAGCCTGTTTTGAAGACACGAGAACCATCGTGACGGAGAGAGATGTCACTATTTCATTAAGAAGATGATGAGACAAAGAGGGAGGGGCGAAGCGGTTGAGTAAGAGAGAGGGAGATGGAGAGGGGGAGAAAGAGAGAGAGAGGGAGAGGAGGGGGGAAAAAGAGAGAGAGATAGGGAGAGAGGGAGGAGGGAAGAGAGAGGAGGAGAGGTAGAGGGGGAAACAAGAAGAAAGAGAGAGAGGAGGAGAGGGAGGGAGAGAGAGGAGAGAGAGAGAGGAGAGAGAGAGAGAGAGAGAGAGAGAGAGAGAGAGAGAGAGGAGAGAGAGAGAGAGAGAGAGAGAGAGAGAGAGAGAGAGAGAGAGAGAGAGAGAGAGAGAGAGAGAGAGAGAGAGAGAGAGAGAGAGAGAGAGAGAGAGAGAGAGAGGAGAGAGACAGAGAGGAGAGAAGGGGACAGAGGACAGACAGACAGAAAGAAAGGGAGATACAGACAGACAGAGACGGACCAAGACAAAAGAGATTACAAAAAGAAAAAAATCAGAAAGAAAGAGAAAGCAATAAGAACAACGAAAAAATAAGAAAATACCCCCCCCTTTGGCGACCACGAATTCACTCCATAATCCCTACGTCTCTCCTTTCTACCTCAAGGAGAGCGTATGACCTTTCAATGGAAATAGAGAGAAGGCAGATCTCTCGGCTTTATATAAACAGAAAACGTGTAGACCTTCATACTATCACTAATATGACCTTCCCTTGTCCCTTTGTATGTGAAGAGGAAGCCTGCAACCGCCCTTCATGAATGGGAAATCAATGAATGAAAAAAGGGTATTCGTGTATATTAAGTGAAGTCTATAGCCCTCCCATAAAGTGTACATAAACCCCTTTCTCCGTTCCCTTCAGATGCCGCGGACGCCACCGAAGCGACGAGCGAGAGCGGAGCCTCGACGCCGCGAGGTCCTCCCTCGACGACCGACTCCGAGCCACTGACGGTCGTCCGCAAGTGCTGCCCTGATTTACACGTGTGGGACTTGGCTTCGAGTACCTGTCAGATCTCCCAAGACTTGCAGTTCATCGTCCCGACCTTTGCCATGGACATTTATGGCATTTACACCGAGGCGAATCTCACCCGGGATCAGGTCAGTGGTTCTTGGCTTCCGAACGAGAACTTATTTGGGATAAGTATGTTCAGTATCTTGTGCTTGTTTCGACATCAACTTCCGTATGATGTGGAGGAATGCTACGTGTTTCCTCTGTTGTTCTTTTACTGCTCTGTGTAATGTTTGGTTTAACTTTTTTATCTAAATATTTGAATGCATATACATGCGCGTGGATATGACACATTCATGCTGTGTCTGTCTCTCTCTCTCTCTCTCTCTCTCTCTCTCTCTCTCTCTCTCTCTCTCTCTCTCTCTCTCTCTCTCTCTCTCTCTCTCTCTCATACATATATGTATATATAATATATATATATATATATATATATATTATATATATTATATATATATATATATATATATACATATATGTATATATATGTAAATATATATCTTTCTCTCTCTCTCTCTCTCTTACTTTCTTCTCCCTCCTCCTTCTCTCTTTCCTTCCTTATTCTCCCTCCCCCTCTCCCTACCGCCCGCCCCGCCCATCCCTCACCCCCTGCCGCCCGCCCTCAGCTCCAGCTCCGGACGGGGAAGGTGACGTGCTCCTCGCCGTGGCAGCTGGAGGAGACGACCAACACGTTCAAGGTGCTGGAAACGGGGCAGCTGTGGGTCGTGGACTTCGAGGCCTACTACGAGCTGGACATGTACTGCCTGGAGACCTTCGCCGAGAACGCCAGCGCGCCCGCGTCCCCGCACTGGCTCGGGGCGGCCGTGTGCCACACGCAGACGCCCATCGAGCCCTTCGACGCCTCCAAGATCACCGTCAGGAAATGCTGTTTGCATAATCAGGTGGGTTGTCGCCGCGGGGTCTTAGGCTCGGGCGGTGCCTCTTTAAGATCTCTCTAATGTTTTTATTTTCATTTTTAATATATCTCTTTGTATTCTGGTAACAGTCTCACTCATTATGAAGACACGACATTAGAGAAAAACTATGTCAACTAAGATATTCATCAAACTTTGAATGCAGATGAGATTCATTGTTAGTGCCGCTTTCAATGATAATTGTAATAAAAAGTCCACATGTCAATATACACTAGAGCCTTAATTACAATCTTAATTAATCACTATGCGAACGTTGGCTGAGAAAGCAAACAACCAGATGCAAATGTGCGCAGAATGGCAAGCAAGCACAAAACATGCCAAGGTTATGAGAAAGCACACAGTGAGTCCCAGACATGAGGAGGGAACATAAACAACGTTCTAACTAACTGAAAAGCTGTAAAGGAAGCTTCGGGTTATATTTTTGTGATTGTATATTGACGTAAAAATGTAATAAAATATAATTCAATGTCCTGTCAGCACTAGGTCGGCACACGCGCGGTAGAAATATACATTCCACGTCTTAATTTGTCAACTTGTAACAACTAAAGGCGAGGTTATCTGTATTCGAGTCATCTGTGAGTGAGTTTGGGTTCATTTCAAGGGTTTTCTGTCTCGAGTGTGAGATGTGGGGGTTTGGAGGCGTAAGTAAGAGCGGCAGGATTCTAAGACACGTTGTGAAAAGAGGAAAGATAAGATATTGATAAAGTGTATGTGATATTCTTGCATGCTGTCGAGACGGGCAAGATGCATGAAATTAAAGTTAGGAAGATGAATATAAAATTAGCAAAGATTTAATCCCCTGTATTCTAGAATAATATTCCTAAACAATGATTGAAACAAAAATATTCGTACTTATTACTACCTTTAATCCCTACAAATTATCGAGACAAAATTATTCATACTTGATCCTACATTTAATTCCTAAAAAAAATAAATGAGAAAATATTCATAATTAATCATACCCTTAATCCCTAAAAAAATAATTGAGACAAAATTATTCATACTTAATCCTACCTTTAATCCCTAGAAAAATAAATGAGACAAAATATTCATACTTAATACCTCTAATCCCTAAAAAATAATTGAGACAAAAATATTCATACTTAATCCTACCTTTAATCCCCCCAAAAATAACCGAAACAAAAAAACATTCATAATTAATCCTACCATTAATCCCTACCCCCCCCCTTCCTTCCTCCCCGGGCGCAGGTGTACACGGCGGACTCCAGCTGCATCCCGCGCGCCAACGTGACGAGCGAGGACTGGCGCGTGCCGCTGCGTCCGGCGGGGGCTGCGGCGGGGGAGCTGGCACACGTCGACGTCCGGCAGCAGCCCTACGCAGACACGCACGAGGTGGTCGCTTCCTTCCAGGTGAGTCAAGGCCGTGCATGCAATTGGACAGGCGCATATGCAAATCCATGCACGCGGATACATATTCCAGTTTTGCGGAATCTCACAAAAAAACAAACAAGCTAGAAGCACTCGGCGCATACCTCCGCCAAGGCAGTAAGGTCACTGATGCGATAAAAATATTCACACAAAAATTTACACTGAAATCACCTTTCTCAAGGTTATGTTTATGTTCGTAAACATAACCTCCTGGATGCGGATTACCACCAAATTGTAATGGAATCTAAGTTAGGATAAGATACACCTCTGGTAAGATTTTCATAAAAATCTAACAAACGAACTCATTATATCCGGATCGTCACCAAAATTTAAAATCAGAAAAATATATTTATAACTTTTTGCGTTATTTTACTAACCAACGAACAAACAAACTAACCCCGCCCAAAGAAAATGGGCGTTAGCATCATCACCATTATCATCATCATTGTCTCCCGCAGGTATGCAAAAGGGACGAGATGGGCATCGAAGTCCACGATTTCCACGTGATTGAACAGACTGGAAAACTCTACATCCCGCAGCTCCTTCGGGAATTTTCCCACGACGAATACTGCATTGAGGATTTCTTCACGGACGACGTTTCCATTCCTACGGTATGTTGTTTTTATTTTTATTTCTATCTTTTCCTTGCTCTCTTTGTTATTTAGTATGTAGGCTTTATTGTTTTAGTGTATATTGTCTTTGCTCTCTTTGCTCTCTCACTGTCTCTATCTCTGTCTCTGCCTCTGCCTCTGTCTCTGTCTCTGTCTCTGTCTGTCTGTCTGTCTGTCTCTCCCTCTCTCTCTCTAAAATACTGAATAGGATGAAGCCCTGTATAGAATGAAAAGTCGTGTCCGCACTGACGATAAACTATGCTATAAAAATAAAAATAGACATTCACTCCTTAGCACTGAAATAAGATATGAATCTCCCTTGCCATCCACAATGCTTCATGATACAACATCCCCCCCTCCTCCTCGCACAAAAACTCGGTATGTGCAAAGCCAAAACTCACGACCCCAATGCCACCCACAGGCTTACATCTGCGTGAGCGAGGCAGAGAGGCAGCAGCTGCACCTTTCCGAGACCCCTGGCTGTGATTCGGGCAGCTGCGTGAGGAAGTGCTGTCCCTTTGGCAAGATCTTGGACTCTATGGGCAGGAAGTGCGTCGACGCCAGAGACACTTACTTCAACGTCACAGTCAAGATGGAGGACGGATCGCAGCGGCTGGTGAGTGAGGCGGTTGAATATTTTATTTTTTGTATTTTTCATTTGTTTATATATATATTTTTTTAAGAAGTTTGAGTGTTATGTTTTGTGAGAGGTTGTGGGGGATAATTTTGTTTGGCAGATCTACGTTTTTCTTTCTTTCTAACTTCTTAATATACAGGGTCATGTACTTAAAAGGATAAAATAATGAAGTAGAGCCCGAAACTGTTCATATTATTTTTTGAATTTCGCAATTTCTGATTTTGAAATTGACACATACACATCCTACCTAACCCCTAGCAATTCAATTACAACCCATTACAACCCATTACAACCTTACATTTCCTCAACTCAAAAACTAAACCCATTTCGAACAGCTGAGTGACATCGAGTTCCTCACCGAATACCCAGACTGCAAACTCCAACTAACCTACGAAGAAGAGGATGTCCAGCTTTTACAAGGCATGAACCTCAGTTACGTCTCTTACAGCCAGGAGGAATGCGACCCGAGAATAGAGAACATTATTCCTCAGGATAATTACTGCATTGATCAGGTATTTGCTGAGGTTTGTTTATGGCTTAAGGGGGTAATGATTTAAGGGGACCAAAGGTATACCCGGTTGAATCAGGTTGGGCTTTTGGTTTCAGTTGTAGAATGAATAACCAGGTATTAATAGTGGTAGTGGTAGTAGTAGTAGTAGTAGTAGTAGTAGTAGTAGTAGTAGTAGTAGTAGTAGTAGTAGTAGTAGTAGTAGTAGTAGTAGTAGTAATAGTAGTAGTAGTAGTAGTATTTACACGTCACAACGACCTTTATTTCTTGTTACTAATTACCTCTTTATTGCAGGTTTTGTACCCATCGGGCATGGTGAAACAAGGAGCAGCCTTCTGTATCCTAGAGGAGCCCACAGCGGAAAAGTCAGACGTCAGGATCATTTACTCTGTCTTCCTCGGGATCTCAGACCTCTTCATCCTAATTTCCTTCATCGTGTATCTAACAGTGCCAGACCAGAACAAACGGGGTCTCAACAAGAACGTAAGTGAACGAGAGCCTGTGAATGTGGATGAACCCCCTTGTGTACTGACTAATACATGGTTTATTCATTTTCTTATAATGTAATATTTCTCTTGATGGGCTAAATATCATCATAAATCATATTAAAGAAGACAAGATCAAGAAAAGAAAAATGGGAAAATAAAAGAAGAAGAAGAAGAAGAAGAAGAAGAAGAAGAAGAAGAAGAAGAAGAAGAAAAAAAAAAAAAATATACAGTACATTTTATCAACCTTTATTCACACTAAAGCAGGGCATATAATTTTTTATCAATCTATCAACAGGTGAAGCTGGCACACTCAGTCTTGGGTCGAATCCTCCTATGCTTCCTCTTCAGCATGTTCTTCGCCTATCTGTTCCTCATCATCATCAACCTTTTCTCGGACCCAATTTACCTGGCGAGCAAAAGTGCCTGCATTGGCGTTGGTAAGTTGACATGACTTGTTTTTTGTTAATCTTATGTCAGCCTCTCTGACAAATATTTTTTCTCATATTTTTGAGAGTGTTTGTGTACCAAAAGTTATTTATAAAGTTATTATGATGATAATGATGATGATTGTCATCATTATTATTATTGTTATTATTCTTAATTTTATCATTATTATTATTGTTATGATGATGATGATGATTATTATTATTATGATAATAATGATAATGGCAATGACAGTATTATGATATTAATATCATTATTATTTGTAATATTATTACTACTTTTATTATGGTTATTATCATTATTATCATTATTCTCTATTATTGTTATTATGCATATCATTACTATTATTTTGTTATCATTATTATCATGATTAATTTGCTGTTGTTATTGTTATCATCATCATCATCATCATCATCATCACTATTTTATTATTGCTATTGTTATTATTATTTTCATTGATATTGTCATTACTGTTGCAGCTCTTGTTGCTGTTATTATTATTATTATTATTATTTTGATTATTATTATTATGATGATGATGATGATGATGATGATGATATTGATGATGATGATGATGGTGTTGATTACTATTAGTATTGTCATTATTTTTGTTGACATTAGAACATTCCATTTAAAAAGAAAGATATAAAAGTAATTAATTTCATGCCATGCAGAGCACTGTATGTTCTGCTACATTTTGCATACATATCTGTAACATTTTTCACAGTTTTTATTAGAGGAATTGATTGATTGATTTCCAACAGGTGTGTGTCTGTACATGTTCTTCATGGCCACTTTCTTCTGGCTGAATGTCCTCTGCTTCGAGATTTGGTGGAAGTGCTCAAGGTAAGTATCTTGAGTACAAATGCAATAGTGAAAACAAGTATATTAATAATAAAGTAATACTTCAGTAACCATTGACTATATTGAAAGAAAGACGTAACAAATGTGTAGCGTACAACAGATATGGTATTCCATCTTGAAAAATTATATCTGTTATCTTGTAAGTTGTATGTAGAGATGACAGACCATTTTCAAGCCGAATTCCTCCTTTCAGGCAAGAGAGCTCGAGTGGCCGTCGCTGGGTGTGGTACCAAGTGTATGCCTGGTTTGGCCCCATCACCTTTGGGGCCATCTCTCTCATCATGGATCTTACGCCTTCTATTAACAGCTGTTACATTAAACCCAACTTTGGGAAATATTCTTGCTTCTTCAGTGGTGAGAATCTCTGTTGATTCTATGTTTTGGTTTTATGAAATGATTGCTGTTTTTGCCAAGAATTTTTGCATTTTACTCATATTTTGATTAGGGATTATATGAACTGAATGGATCATTTTATAACCTGAAGCTGAAGTGACTTTTTTGTATCACAGATTTAACAGATATTTCAGTAACATTACATAAGAAACTGTGGGTCTAATTCCTCCTTTCCCTTTCAGACACCCTGACACACAGTAATGGAGCGAAATGGGCATACTTCTTTGGGCCAGTGGCTGCTCTGCTAATGGCTGACCTCATCTTCTTCCTCCTGACCGTTCGCTCACTCCTCGTCACTGTTCAGCAGAGCCACAAGGGGACGGCTCAGAAGCAAGCCAAGCAGCGGCTCAAACTGTGCTTTAAGGTTGGGCTTCATTATTTTCTTATTATTGTGAAAAAAGTCTATATATACATCTATATCTGATTTGTATCTGTATGTGTATTGATCCATCCATGCACCAGTTTCTCTATTTGTATGTCTGTTAATGTGCAACAGTCAGGCTTTGAAAAAATATCAAGCAATATTTTCCTGTTTCAGCTTTTCTTAGTTATGGGTATCAGCTGGTTTGCAGAGATCATCGCATATCAATTTGGACCAAGCAGTTTTGGATACATCTCAAACATTTTCAACTGCTCACAGGTTTGTGTTAATACAAGATAAAAAGAATTTGTCAAAGAAGTGTTTTAGGCACATTTATTCACAGTTGAAAATATGTGAGAAAAAAAATTGAGTTGTAATAATTAAAAAAAGAATTGTGAAAGGTTATATTTCTGATGTAGTTATTACATTCTCAGATGAAATATATATAGCTGTAATAATGATAAAACTATGACTGATAAATGAGCTGTTGAAAGTGCAGGTAGCAATTTGTTTTTTTGTCAAATTTCCAATAAATAGATATCACAGAGATTAAACTAGTGACAACCACAGGAGAGCACAGGGAGTATATTTAAAATTGTAGTCCTTAACATAATGTTTAATATTGAACAGTTCATCAGTCACATCTGTAAGGTATTGGTAAAACACAAGGGGAAATAGTCCAGTCGTGAGAGATAAAAAAGTCAAACATCACCGACTCTTCTTTGGAAATTCACAACCATTTTCTCAAACTTTGACACATCCACAAGCCCCTGACATGATTTTTAGGCTAAGGAAAAAAAGTATTCAACAGGTCCTGTCTGTTATGATTCTTATTCCTTGTAGAAGATGATTGTTGGGGTAAAATTTGAGATCACAATATTGTAACATTGCTGCTTATTTTATTTGTCACTTCATTCCAGTAAAAATCTTAGATGTGCTTTACTTTATTGTTGTAGATTTTGGTGTAATGTTTAAAGATGTTTCTTGACTTCACCTAACCTAATTAAATAATGGGGATGGTGTTTAATGCTCCATGAAAGAATTACTTAATAATCATCCACCCCTTGCAGGGCTTCATTGTGTTCCTGATCTTCATCCTAAAACCCAAAATTATGGAGGCAGTTCGAGCCAGGCTGTGTGGCTGCTGTGGTGACCCCAAGCCAGCCAAGCTGCGCGGTATGCTCCCCTTCACGTCCATGGTCCTCACAAACTCAGCAACCACGGATGAGTTCTCGCTTTCTAACCAACAGCTTTCGCTTGCACGCTCCAATGTCCATAACCAGATCTCCACGATTTCCAACTCGTCAAATGACATGGTTGTACCCCCCATGTCCCATCACCTCCCCAAACACCTTCCGCTCTCACTCTGCCAGCCGACAGAGCTGCATGCAAAGATCCACAACAGGCCATCATCTGAATTCCCAAGTGAGGGTGAGCTGAGGGCCAGTTCTGAACGGTCGAACTCAAGGGACTCATCCCCTTCATCCTCTAGGCCTTCAACACCAAGGACGACCTCTACTCGAGGATCCCTCTCGGCCAGCTGCAAGTCCATGGATGAAGTCACCTGCTGATAAATAGCTTGTGTTTTATTCCTGTTAAACTTTCTTAAAGACGCAGATAAGATTGAACTCATACTATATTTCTCTAAAGAAACAGAATTATTGATTTTGCTGGTTCTAGATTATATGATTATTCTTTCCTTTGAGAGTTATATTTCTTATTTTCATGATGTCTTGCTTTAATATGAGAATCAGTTATTTATCGAGTTTGATTTATTAATATTAGTGTTCTGGTTAATAGAGTCTACCTTTATTCATATCTATATGCTTGTATTTGCATTTAAAATCTATAGAAAAATATAAATGATAGGAACGCTTAAGCATAGATTGTGTAGGTATATATATATATATGTATATTTTTCTCATTAGTTAGAAGAAATTTAGTAAGCAACAGCCTTGAGTAATTCAAACACATGTCAATTATAGCTGCAAAGACTGCAGTTCTGATTAGCTTTAGAAATATGTTTTATTATTTCAATATTATTATCCCAGTGTTTGCTTTGGTCAGGAAAACAAGAAAGTGTACTGTGCATGAATTTATTAATAGTGATTGAGAGGGGAAAGATACAATGGGGTTATAGTCAAAGAATTATTGAAGGTAGCAATTAGAGACAAATGTCTTATCATTGAGTTACCTGAATTGGCAGTCTCAGATTAACAATATCTGTATAATAGTGGCTGTTTTCCTTGCAGTAGGAAGTAAATACAATATCATTTTGAAAGTATTCATTAAATGGAAGCCAAATTAGGGGAATAAAAAAATTAA